AGACTGTTTTACACTTATCAGAGTTGCCATACGAAACGTCCTTGCCGTGTTAAATCTCAATGTTGTATGAGGCAGGTTTGTTTGTTCTTCTTCCCTGAGGCTTTAGCACGTTTCTCTTTGTGATTCACTGATGTTCAAGGTGGCTCTTCAAGGAGAAGCCTTTTCCACACGAACTGCATATAAATGCTTCTTCCCTGTATGAAGGAGAAAGACGGGGCTTTCTACTCCTGTAACACGTTAGTGTCCACAAAAAGAGGTACCGTCTTGGAACTTGCTGGGGTAGTTCTACCCTCCTACAGGGTTGCTATGAGCTGGCATCGACCCAGTGGCACTGAGCATGTCTCTGTATGAGCTGCGGGATGGACAGTAAGACAAATGTTGCCCCTGAAGCCTTTTTCACCTGCTTTGGTTTCATCGTGGTTCTTTCCCTTCTGAATTTGCTGAAGAGCAGTTGAGTTTGCTCTTCAAGGTGAACTCTTTCCCGGATTCCCTCTAACGTGGGGTTTTCCCTGTATATGCGTTTGCCGATGGCTGGTGAGATGGTTTCCTCGTGAAGCCTTTTCCACACTCACTGTACATAAATCGATTTCTCTCAGAGGGAAAACATCCCCCCTAGTCAGTGCATGTATAGGATTTCTCTCCAATAGGAGGTCCTGATGGAGCATCTGTTCAAAATTCACAATGGACCCTATCTCACTGCATCTGTAGGGTTTCCTTCCAGTATGAGTTAGATGATGATCAAGAGAATTGGTTTCCACGCCTTTTGACTGCTTTCTATTCCATTGTAGAAGCACACCAAAATCACTCACCAGTGAATGTTCTGGTGTTTGGGATATGGTAAATGGCAATGCTATACACATTCAAGGGCAAAAATAAATGACTCAAAGAAACAAAGGACCTCAGAGAAATGAACTTCTGATAATCCCGAGTGTCTGCACCACCTCACAAAGAAGTATTTGGTAGATGTATTTTCCACGTCTGTCCTTCTCCTGCTCTGGTCTCCTCACTTTTAGCCCTATGCCAGAATGCAGACTTACACTAAGAAAGCAGAGACCTAGAGAACACATACTGTGGGACCTGGCCCTACGCTAGCCTCCTGGCTTGCCTTGTGTGCAACTCCCAGGGCGCTATTATTCTCAGATTCCACCTAATAAAGTCCTGTGAACCCAGGTCAAAATATACCAGCTCCATTTTCAAAAGCCATCTTAATTCTAATCAGCTCTCACACCCTCCATTTCTGCTACTTTAGGACAATCATTCATCAGAGATGCTGGAACCACCTCGGTTTGTCTTTGGCCTGGTCTCTCGATATAGCACAGGCCAGGTGGTGCTTGTAAATCACAGCTGAGTGTGAAATCCCTCAGTCCTCAACTGTCTAATGTTTGCACGATAGAATAAAATGTCCAGTATCGGATCGTCTACAAGGACTTGCATTTCTAGTTCCTGTATCTAAGTCCTGCCACTCTCTGCCTCCCACCCTCAGTACAAGCTACTATGGTCTTCTTGTGATTAGAATTCTGACAAATATTTTCCTGCCTCAGCACCTTTATACATGCTCCCACTCTCTGGGAATTCACATCTCTCCTACATATTCCTGTATCTTGCTTCCTCTCATCATTCATATACCTCCCTAGACCAGAGTATGGCCATCCAGGAAACTCTTGGTATAAATGTAGTGGGTCTCAACTCTAGAGATTCTCATTTTGCACATATGGGTAGTAACTGAAGAACTTTCTTTTCTTAAGCCATCTACTTAAGAGATAAATCAAACCTATATTCTTTCCTTAGAAATACTGTAATATTATGTTGCTGTTTCCCCTCAGTTTAGTTCTTGACTCAAATATGACCTCCCCAGGAAAGTTTAATTTAAATACCTCCTCTGTAATTATGTATACACTTACTCGGCTGTTTTTCTTAACTAAATTGCTATCTGATGTGACATTATTTCTTTTACTACCTGTCTTACTATATTGTAAGTAGTTGGCCTCTGGAACTAAAATGTGTCTAACAATGTCTACAACTGTACCTGGCAAAATTAAAAAACCAAACTCACTGCCACTGAGTTGATGCCAGCCCATGGTGACCCCAGAGGGCAGGGTAGAACGGCCCATGAGTTTCCGAGAATGTAACTGTTTATGGGAGTAGAATGGGAGTCTTTCTCTCATGGAATGGCTGGTTTTGAACTGCTGATCTTTCAGATCACAGCCAAACTGGCGAGGACTACATCAACAGGGGTCCTTAGGTGGTAACAACTCTTTGTTGGAGTGAATCATACAATAATCTAGGGCGGCGGTTCTCAACCTGCATAATGCCGCGACCCTTTAATAACAGTTCATGTTGTGGTGACCCCCCCCAACCATAAATTATTTTCATTGCTACTTCATCACTGTCATTTTGCTACTGTTAAGAATCAGGCGACCCCGTGAAAGGACTGTTCGACCCCCAAAGGGGTCGCGACCCACAGGTTGAGAACCGCTGACCTAGGGTTTGCAGTGGAAATTTGATATGGTCACTGCATGGTCAATTTCCATTTGTTTCATAAGCAGGGCTCATAGACTTATCTTTATTAGAGTAAAGCAGACTGTGGTGTTATTAGAGCAGAGGACAGGACAATAGCGCCTCTCACAGGAGAGTAAATGGAACCGATGAAGAGGAAAAGCACAAGACCTAATTCAACAGGGCACAGAGATGACGAGATCTGTGAAATGAGGACCAGCCTCAAAGGGAGCAAAAATAAACAGACCCTTCTCCAAGAGACTAAAGGGACTTTAGCTCCTCCAATTTCCTGTGCTTCCTTCCATCTTAGATGACATTTTTCATCCTTCTATTTATTTTATATATTTTTGGAATCCTTACCCTTTTATGTTTTCATTGCTTTGTATTCAGACAGATAGAGTCTATTATACAGAGATAAAACTTTTGGACAATTGCATCTCTTAGAATTATTTCAATAGCTTATCCTCTAAGATGACAAAAATATTTGACTCTTTTGTGCATTCACAATCACCTTCCAAATCAATAATATACTTACGTTGTTTATTTTTTATATCATGGGGAATGAGTTTCTGTAATAAACCAACACTGTCCAGTAGAATAATTGTTCTGCCATGATGGTTGGATCTTACATCTGTATTGTCCAATACATTAGTCATTAGCCATATGTCTTACGCAGGGTTCTCTAGAGAAGCAAAACCAGTGAAGCTTTTATATGTATGCATATATATAGAAAGACTTTCTCTCTCTTAAGGAAATGGCTCACGCTGTTGCAGAGGCTGGCAAGTTCCAAGTCCATGGGTCAGATGCCAGGCTGGAGGCTCCTCCTGACTCACGTATCTGCAAGGGCTGATGAACCCAACACCAGCAGATCAGGCAGCAGGCTGCTGGCTGCTAAGGTGAATGAATCCAAAGTCAACAGGCTGTTAACTCAGTCTGCAGAGACTAATGATTCCCAGGATTGGCAGGCAATATGGCAGACCACTGACTCAAGGTCAAAGAACTGGAAGTCAGATGATGATGAGCCAGATGCAGGCTCCAGACTCCGAAAGTTTGGCAGAATGCCAATGTATATAGGAAGCACATAACATCCCCAGTGAAACTCCCTTTCAGTCAAATGGCTGCTTATAGCAGATCGCATCAAGGAGGGGATTGCATTATAGGAGATTTCATCATGGGAGAGTACTACATTTTAATTGCTGAACCAGTGAGAATCATGGTTCAGACAAATTGACCAACAACCTTAAATCATAATACCACATATGGATACTGAGCTTTTAAAATGTGGTTGGCAACACTGAGGAACTATATTTATTCTTTACTTATTTTACATTTATATAGGCAAGTGTGATTAGTGGCTATTGAATTAGTTCCACACTATCTAGGCATTTATCATTAACATAGGGAAGGTAAGACATGGTGTGGTCAAATTAGTATTTATATGGCCTTTTACTTTGGTTCTTTGGGAAAACAGTTGGGTTTTTATCCTAAACACTTGAGTTACCTTTGCCCCAGTTAGTTTTCTAACCCAGAATGATTGTTACTTTTATGCAGGCTGATTGGTATTTCCTGGGTAAGCTGCACACAACTTGGATTTGATCTGGCCTTACAGCCTGCCCTGTGATTGGCATGCACCTTGCAGGGATTTATCACCAGACTATGACCTGAGAGGGGACTGGTCAGTTTGTGGCACTGGCGGGTCAGCTATCCCTTGAAATTGACAGAATTGTAGATAGAAGGGGTCTTCAAAAAAAGCGCATGCAATTTTAAGATAATGGAAAATTTCCATAAATGTTCGTAAGCCCCCTCATAGAAGCAGCCAGCTACACAGAAGTTTGAGACGGAAGAAAGCAGAAGGAAGCAGCAAGTAACAGTGAGAGAGGCCAAGGACTTCTTACAGAGCTGGAACATGGATCAAGGGTTATAACCATACAGACTCTGTGGAGCCCAGCAGCACAGTCCATGTCAAAAGGTGGTGTGGCAGAGAGGAGGCATGTCCTCAGGGGACATGCACAGTGAAGAGCTTGCTTGCTTGCACAGCCAATAGGATCTGCCCTACTGTAAAATAAGTGATGTGCTCTCCACACCACCATCCAGACTGCCTACATGCTTCCTGTTCTTAAATTGTAGCCTGCTGCACTTGATCACACGTTGACCCTATTACTTCCCTAGTAAGCCCTAGAACCGAGTATGGTCTGTGAGTTCTGTGTGTCCATTGCAATGAATGATCAAACTCAACAGAGAAGTGCAAAGTGCCATGAGAGAGAAAGAGGTATCAGAATTGCAAGAATGGAAGTATTTTCGAAACACCAGTTCCCTCCCTCCAAAAGGAATGAGCCTGGGGTTTGGTGACTTTCAATCTCTTCTCCCCTTGTGTAGATGAAGTCTGATATCCCCATGCTATTTTTATAGGAAACAACATTGGTACAACTCGGAATCAGGAATCAGAAGTCTGGGAGGCTCCTTGAGAGAGTACATCACTCCCATCTTCAGTGCAAGAAAGCTTTTTCAGCAAGCCGGCCTCTCTCCAGGAATTCCTCTCTTCATCCTCCACATGACAGGCCTGCTCTTGGCCATGCATATCCCCTTCTCAGCCATCCTGGCTTCCTCTTGAATCTCTCACACAGGTTCCTCTTGGGCCTATTAGAACGGGCTTCCTGGTGTTCGTGCACGGCCCTCCTCAGTTATGTGGATCATTCCGCCTTTGGCTTCCCTTCTGTCAGCATTTGTTGCTGAGCCAGCCCATAGCCAATATAGCACCATTTTAACTTTTAGCTGCATTCCTAGCATCAGATTTCTGTCATCACCACGGAGTCTGCTGCAGGGCCACTTCTAGGTTTCTTGTTATCTTCAGTGTTAACTAGACCCACGTTCTGGCTCTTTTAAGTGGTTCTTTGCTTCCTCTCTGATTCTTCTCTCTTTTCTCCTTTCTGCTCTTTTCTTTCAAACTTTGTGACTTTGGCTGCACATATAAGCAAACTCTTCACCAATTTCAAGGCTTGAATCTCCCCCTTTGTGTAGACCAGGGCAATGAAATAATCAGTGCCATCTTAGTAAGCCACAGTGACTTCATCCCCATAGTAGGCTTATAAGTCTTTCATTTGCATAGTTTATTGACCAATCCCTCCAAGTGCACACCAGTTCTAAGGCAGACTGCAACCCAGAGTAGACAAAAAGTATCAACACAGCAAGGTGTTTCCAGCTTGTCCTGGAAATGTCAATCAATTTAGACAAAAGTTAAAAAAAAACCAAAAAAAAAACCACCAACCCTCTGAGTCAGAAAAGTAAAGCAAAGGTAACTTCTCAGGGCTTACAGAGAAAATCAAGCTGTTTTCTTCAAAGAACTCAGGCAAAAGGCCACATAAAAGAATTCAATTCACCAGTCTTGCTTAAAGGAAATGGAAATTAGCCACACTTGGTGCATACATAGGAAGTTTATCCTGTGTGAAATCTCTGATGTTGTATGAGGCACGTTTTCTTCCTTAAGGCCTTACAGCATTCTTTGCATTGTTAGGACTTCTCTATATTATGAGTTCGCTGGTGTACAAGGAGATTTCTCTTTGAGGAAAAGCCTTTTTCACATGTAGTGCAAACGAAGGGTTTCTCTCCTGTATGAGTTCGGTGATGTACTGTTAGCCGGCTTTTCACGGTGAAGCCTTTCCCACATTCCTTGCATTCATAGGGTTTCTCTCCAGTATGGATTTGTTGATGGTCAATGAGTTTGTTCTTTGTGGTAAAGCCTTTTCTGCATTCACTGCAGACATAGGGTTTTTCTACTGAGTGAGTTTGCTGATGAATGATGACATAGCGTTTCATGGTAAAGCCTTTTCCACATTCATTGCACATAAAAGGTTTCTCTCCAGTGTGAGTTCGCTGATGCACGATGAGATTGCTCTTGTAAGCAAAACCTTTTCCACACTGAGTGCATATGTAGGGCTTTTCTCCAGTATGCGTTCGCTGATGTAACATTAGTCCACTATTCACAACAAAACCTTTCCCACATAAATTGCATTTATAGGGTTTCTCACCAGTATGTGTTCGCTTATGTACAATGAGACGACTCTTCAGAGGGAAACCTTTTCCACAGTCAGCACACACATAGGGTTTCTCTCCAGTATGAGTTCGCTGATGTATGATGAGCATGCTCTTCACAGTGAAGCCTTTTCCACAATCACTACATAGATACGATTTCTCTACTCCATGATTGCGACGGTGTATGATGAGGTTACTCTTCCTAGGAAAAGCTTTTCCACAGTCATTGCACACATAGGGTTTCTCTCCAGTATGAGTTCGCAGGTGTTCATTCAGACGGGTCTTCATGGTGAAACCTTTCCCACAATCATTGCAGACATAGGGTTTCTCTCCTGTGTGGTTTCGCTGGTGTATGATGACATAGTGCTTTGTGGTGAAGCCTTTCCCACAATCACTGCATATGTAGGGTTTCTCTCCAGTATGAGTTCGCTGATGTATGATAAGCATGCTCTTCCCAGTGAAGCCTTTTCCACAATCACTACATATGTAGCATTTCTCTCCTGTATGAGTGCGCTGATGTATGATGAGATTACGTTTCCCAGGGAAACCTTTTCCACACATGTTGCACACAAAGGGTTTCTCCCCAGTATGAGTTCGCTGATGTTCAATCAGACGACTCCTTATGGTAAAGATTTTTCCACAGTCATTGCAGATATGGGATTTCTCTAATTTATGAATTCTCTGATGTTCAGTGAGCCTGGACTTTCTGGAGAATGCTTTCCCACATGTACTGCATCCATAAGGTCTTTCTCCTGTATGAACTCTCTGATGATCAATGAGCTGGGACTTCTTCAGGAAGGCTCTCCCACATTCACTGCATATATGGGTCTTCTCTACATTGTTAACTGTCTGACGCTGAATTACTTGGAACTTAGTGCTGGTAGGATTTGTACTCATAGGGAACTTAACTGCAGAATGAAATTGTTCACGATTACCATGCAGGAAAAATTTCCCATATCCATTAAATTTAGCAGAGTTCCTAATTTCATAACTTTTGTTCTGATTAGCTAAACTTAAATTTGATTTCAGAGTTTTTATATATAACTCAAACATGTCATGATTTTGCCTAAAAGGAAAATGAATTTTGCTATGATGCTCAACATTCCCAAGCACATGTTCATGGTATTGTTCCAAACTCTTCAGCATTCCTGGATTTCCCAAGTGACTTTGCAGATGACCATCAATCTTGCAGATTTCTAGGAAAAGAAGAGAATAATGAATACCTTCATGATCGTGTCAGAAATAAAAATTTCCTGTGTATGACATAGTGGCTCTTTAGTGAAAACAATATAATATGGTGCAAAGTAAAATACAAGTCCATATGCTGCATGAATGAACATGGGAGCAAAGCATAAGGGGTTTTTAATGAAAGCATCTAAACCAGAGTTTGGAGGCACACCACCCTACAGAATTTGGAAAAACACCAGATCACAGAGATGCAGGAGACAAATGATCCAAAATGATGAGGGCTGCATTTGTTCATTCCACAAATATCTGATGAATGGTTCTCATGTATGAGTCACTATTCTGGTGTGAGGGTATACAGAAATCTTCCTTATTATCTTTGAACTTCAACTTGATTTAGAGAAAACCAAGATACAAACCGGGAATTGAAGATTGGTAAATGTAGTTTGAAAGATCAATAAATTGTGTGAGGTGGGAAAAGCAAGATACAGAAGCCAAAAGAAGTACAAAATTAAATCACAGGTTCAATAGGAGTGTGTGTATAATAGATCTTATGCCAGAGAGTATTCCATGCAGAGAATGACGAAAGCTTGAACATGAGGCGAGGGGCTGAAAGAACGAAATGGAAGCATGGAGGAGAGAGGTTTTGAATGAAAGTGAGGAAGCAGTGATTACTTTGCCAACTATAGCCCTTGAACAACTGGGTAGGCAGAAGTTTCTTGTAATAAGAGGAGAAGTTCAGAATGTGTAGAAAATAAATTATACATTAAGAAACATAAGATTTGGAGATGGTTAGGAGGTAGATAGATAACAAGAATCTTATTGGATGTGTCAGTCTTGACAAAGGTTTGAAAATAGCACAGGAAGGTTTTGGAGTGTTTTTGTTTGTTTGTTTGTTTTTTGCTGTTTCTAGTTTTCTTTCTTTTTTTTTTTTGAGTTTTTATATATAACTCAAACATGTCATGATTTTGCCTAAAAGGAAATTGAATTTTGCTATGATGCTCAACATTTCCAAGCACCTGCTCATGGTATTGTTCCAAACTCTTCAGCATTCCTGGATTTTCCAAGGAAGAAGAACAAGGTATCAAGATGTCTTAGCTACCATAAAGGACAAAGTACTTCCAGGATCAGGTTTCAATTTTATGGGCACAAAGTGGAATGGGATTTCAGAGAAGGAGGAATCTAATATCTTTTAGGGTTGTGAAAAACATTTCACAAGAAAGAGACAAATAGATATCCTGTCTGAATGAAGCAAACACACCAGGTGCATGCCTATGCCTCGGTTCTTCTCTTACTTGATCAATTAGTAATGGTACACAATGTTGATGACTTTTCCTGGAAAGGTGTTGGACTTCAAGCATGGCATCAACTCTTGAATGCTCCTATCTTACCATTTGCTCACTTAATCACACACTTTATTACATACTTATCTGTGTTTTAAAGGCATCCTGATGGTGCAAGGGTTAAGCACCAAGTTGGTAACTGAAATGTTGGCAGTTCGAACCACTTGGGGCACCTCAAGACAGGCCTAGCTAACTGCTTCTAATGATCACACCCTGGAAAACCATATGGAGTCCTACTCTGCTCACATGTGGGCGTTATGTGTCAGAATTGGCTTGGTACCAACTAATAACAAATTTGTCTACAAAGACTTAGAAGTAAAGGAGTTCTGCTACTAGGAGAAGAATACATAAAGGTTCTGTTTGAGTCTTCTGATACCCCTCATGTGGGAGAGAGAACCAGGAAGAGAGTGTATGAGGACAAACTCTCTACATTCATATGTTAAGGAGTCTGGGAGGCCAAGGCTCCCATGGAGGAAACCTTCATGTTTGTGGGTTGGAGTATGTTCCACTCACATTCTCCTAATTAAAAGTTATTCCCCATGGTGACCCCCCATAATAGTGCCAAATCTAAGGTGCTGTTTGCAAACACATGGTCACTGATTATACACTTGGAGGTCAACTGCTTGAAGGGTATCTGCCTGAAGGTTGTCAGCCATTTAAGGCAATCAGACCCTATATTGTCTGTCCTACCCTAAGTAGGGCCTGTTTTCTTCTGAAAAGGATAATGGATTGTTCCCCTGAAGGAGAGCTCAGACACCCAAGGTCAAACCAACTCAGACAACGAAGGTTAGGCTGCCATCTTGACTCTAGAGCCCGCCCATCTTGTGACGTATGTGCCTTCCTGTCACATGTATACCCCTAGTGCCTCCCCTTCCTATTGTGTGTACAGTATACCCCTTGGTCATCCCCCTCCTGTTATGAGTATGTGTATTGTACAACCCCTTCCTGTTACACATGTAGTTACCTGTAATTAGGGGGGCTTGCATGCCCCTAGAGTATACAGAAGCCTTGGTTGGAAATATATTCTCTCTCTCTCTGAACCTGGCTCATGAGTCATGACTGCGAAGGTGAGCACTTGCAAGCTTTATCTTGTCTGATGTCTCTTTAATTTACACCTCAATTACACAACCGCCCCTTGGACCCATTCAATTGTGGGGAAGCTGGTCCCCAGCACCCTCACGCTGTAATACCTCTTTTCAATGACCTGGTCACCCACCCTGCTGGTTCTCACTCACCTGGGTAGATCCGCCTGTGGGTTCCACCTCCTGCCATCCACAGCACTCCCTGTTCCGCCATCGAGGGGGCATCTGGGTTGTCGGCTTGATACCCTATTCATGGGAAATGAACACCACGGAGACATACTGAATTGGAGCAGAGTGGGAAGCCAAGAAACTGGATGAAAATGTAAACAGCTCAATTCTCTGTGCTCATAACTATGGGTTTGGAAGGCTGACTCTGGTGGGGGAAGGCTCTCACAGTTCTGAGATAGAGAAATAAAACCTAATGCTCATTCTTCAGACAAAAAGAGTTCTCCCCACAACTTCCTTCCTTTTCTGTAAAGCTCCCATTTCAGGGCACCTAGCTTTTCACTACTGGCTGAAAATACCTATCTCTGAAAGTAGACAAAGCCCTTTTAGCTCTTACCACGATAGAGTCAGCTTTTCCTTTGTGTCTCAGCTGCCGGATACTTAATAATGAAGTAGCCACCCTTTTCTTGTAAGTTAGGAGGAAGCCAGATGCATATCATTCTCCAGGAACAAACTTCACATATAGCTTCTATAAAATGTGACTTCCTACAGACACGGAGCTTCTCACACATACTGTTGAGAATGTGCTTCTCTCTCTATCATCCTCTGTCTGCTGTTTACTATCTTTAAGAGCGATTATCACCATTTGTTCACTTGCCTGCCAGACAGTTCTTTTGAGATGGTTTCCCAAAAGAGGTCAGGGTCGCTCAGATTCACATGTTGTCCAATCTACTGTGTATGTGCCAGATGGAGATATGCATACCTTGCTCCTATATATACTGTTTATTATGCTGGCCCACACTCTCTGATTCCAACATCAGGAATGAGGAGCCCGTTTGCCCTATCTTTTCTGTCGTCTTTTTCTTCCATAATTGCACAAGCTGCTTCTAAGGGCCCATTGGGTCATGGAGCTGGATCCCACAGGGTAGGGTATGTCAAGGTGAGAAAAACTGACATTTGGGGACTGGACAGCTTTCATATGCACAAAGTGAAGACTTTTCTTTCAGGAAAGGGCACATTCTATGTTCTTGTAGAGAGAATAAAAAGGATCTGCAAATCCATCACTTTAGAGCACTGCTGTGACTTCAAAGTATAAGCAACAGATAAAGGAAATGCCACTGAATGGCCTTCTGCATAGAAT